CTTGGAAGCACTATAGAAGCATATTTGTCAAATATAATTTGGATAGATTTCACAATATACCCAAATATCAAAGTTCATTGCGTTTCAAACTGATACTTTTTGATTAATATTAAATCCTTCTCCAAATTTACTTGCGCCAGTAACATAAAAAAAAAAAACGATTTTCGAATATGGTGCGGTTCCTGATTTCGTGCACTCCAAACTGAAATCACACTTAGTTAAATGTCGGATGTGCGTGATTACGACAAGAAATGCCACATAAGCAAGTCTAAGTAAACGCACGTGTATCTTATTATAATTGAACTTTTAGTAGCACTTACTTAACAAAATGACAACTACCGAAAATGTTCGGCACGTGAGAAATAACAATTGAAGTGTCAATGCTAGAGGACAAAAACACACACACACACGCACATAATGACAATCGGTATGGAATGCCTATAGCATCAATGTTAAATACTAAACACGTTTGCAACGCAATTGTCCATGGTACGATTTATCGGAATGAGCATGAATTCGAATCGTGATAATACACAACATGTTCTTAAATTATATCTCATGTTCTCTCCATCTCTTTCTCTCGCCTGAGCTATTTTCATTGTAACGATGGAATTTTGATAATTATTTATTCATCTTCAGAGAATTTCCAACTAAAATTTCATTCTCGTTTTGCCGCACACACACAGACACACTGTTCAAGTGCTCGTTTTGTGAACATTTAAATTATCTCCTTTGCATTTCGGTATCAAACAGTAACAACAATAACAACATCAAGCAGCCAACTATCAATTAGAATGGCAAAATGCTATATGAGAAATGTCAGACGTGTATTTTCTCTCTTTAGCACAAAACCACACTTACACAAAGACATCTAGAGCCCACTAATGCGATGTACAAATACGAAATTCGCTTCAGTTTCAATTTCTGTGCTTCGAGAGAAGGCACAACGATTTAAATTCGAAATTGGCGGTGACATCGCTTTTCCCATTGCATAACCGAATTCAATATGTTTCAAGCAAATTTAAACAGCACAATAAGAAATCACATCCAAGACCGCATACACTCTCAGTCTTCTTCTCTCACTCACTCACACAGTCTGGCGTTTACGTATTGAATATTTCGAATTGTGCCGACATTGTGCTTTTACATTCAGATACATACAAACACTACAACCGAACCGACACCGCAAAATTAATAAGCAAACACAGTACATTAATTTTATTCTACCTTTATGCTCTATACTAAACCAAATCCCAAATATAATGTTACCCGGCATGTGAATATGTTTAGAAAATTGTCTTCATGCCTGTTTCTCAACTCTTGTTCAGTCTTCTCGCTCTCTCTTTTTCTCTCTTTTTCACACAAACTTTCGACCAAACTCTTTCTCAAGCCCAAACACAGTACATCGTTCTTATTGTGTATACATTAACGTGTTTTCAAATTGTAAATTTGAATCGTTTTCCGTTTTAAACATTGTACAGTCGAGAGCATGTTTGTGGTCTTAAATTAAATAAATAAAAGTTATAACGAAAATCGTTTTGAGAACCAAACAAACCGGAAACCATTTCCTCAGTGTGTGTTTCTCTACCGTCCGCCTATTTCTCATTTATTTTCTTGATTTTACTTAAAAAATATGCCGTTTCACCTTTTGCTTCGAAATGGCATTTTGCTTCCAACCGCAACGAAGAAAAAACGCAGTTCTCGTCTTCAAGTCCTTCGGAAGTTCTTCCTAAATTGTCGTCTCTCTCTCTCGTCGCCAGACATCGACAAAAACTAAATGAAATATATAACATTTACATATGAAAAGCGCGTTTAACTCGTGCACCAACATTCAATTTCCAGCATTTCAGAATGCGTTGTGAAAATAAATGGAAAATAAATTTTCAAACTTGGCATCGGCGTCCGATGTTGAAAGGCATAACGAAGATCGAGCGCACTGCGAATAGCATTTCTATATGGGAAGAGACGCGTGTGTGTGTGTGCATATAAATTTTTATGGTCATGTGTTTATTACGCGTAAACAGTAGTTCATTTATATATTGTCGCAACTTAAACACTTTCTTGACTGATGAATGCGCCGCGCCGGTTTTGCAATACAAAGTTTCAAAAGGAAATCATATGGGGAGGGTAACATGAAGCTTTTTGAATATGTCATTAATGTTTGCCATAGCCGATGGCAGGTTACATTTTCAATGGACAATCAAGTTTCGAGGTAAATGGCAAACCAAAGCGAGCACACCGAATCCCCACTCTATAAAATTACTTTTGGCGGATTAGCACAATGATGTTGCAGTTGATACTCTGCTGAACGACAATGTGCTGCAAAGTTAATTTGATGAGTATCATGCGATAGTTCAAACTAAATGTGATTAAACAAAGTAAAACTGCAACTGGATAGAAATTGTTTTTTTTTTTTGGACAGGGGAGGGGGAGGTATGTAGAAAGTTTTGTGCCATTACAAAATTGACTATTTGCATGGTTCATATGTCGAATTGTATAAATGTATTAGATAGAAACGTGAGAGATTTATGATGTGATGCGAAATGCATTTCTGTGCGTATACTCAATACATTGTATTATAATGTAAAGGTAACTCAACAGAGCACGCACACATACATTGTTACAAATATGTCGTGCAAAAATCTATGTCTAATATACGGAACAAATGACATATACGAAATACGAACATGAAATGTTGTTTTCGTTGACATTTCTCGGTGTGACTTGGGCTGAAAAGAGTATTCAGTACGTTAGTACCCCTTTGAATTTGAATCTGCACCATTTATTGCACAAACAATACAAGTTGCATTGGAATGTTAAGTTCTTCGTTGCTCTTTCAAAATTAACAAACCATGTCTGTGTGCGTTTGAGGCACAAAAGAAAACCTTCAATACGATTAATGGTATGGGAAGCAGCATGTCTCTGTGTGTGTTTTCAGGCCACAGCATCAATGATATGCGAAAGCATTCTCAAAGTGTCTGGCACATATGTTGTTCACTTTCATTAATTTAAAGCGCATTTACACGGGCCCTTGTTCATTCATTGTTCGCATCTCGGGTTTGGATTTGAATTCGGATATGAAACGAGAGAGAGAGAGAGAGAGAGAGAGAGAGAGAGAGATGGAGATAGAGGAAGAAAGCGAAACAGATGTGTGTTTACATGCACGTGTTGAATCACACTTTTCTAACCAGTCAATGCTGAACCTAGTGCTGAACACACACACACATTCGGTTCAAGACATAAAGAAGCGTTATATCGTAAAATGATCATTCCTTTGGCCATAAATATTTTTGACCTCAATGTTATTTACACGTGATACCTACGCAAAAACCGATGATAATAGCGATTCCACTTTAGTTATGAGCATTTCCAAACGAATTATGGCCGCAATAAAAATGTATCGTGCAAATGTTTGCTTGCGCCCCTTAAGACTGCGCCGTTCATTGTGGTGGGTGGGTATGCATGTGCTGTAAAAACTAGTAGTTTTTTGTTAGTTCAAGACAATAGAGAGTTAATTGCAACTACCAGTCTATGTATTTTGGATAGATATCCATCCGAGATATTTTAGAATATCTGGATATTTAACGCAACTGCACAAGGCCAGAGCTGTGTGCGTCTCACATATAACCTACGTTATGTCGCTACACGAAAAATACAGACACAGTGTGACTGTGTACGTGCGGCACTTGATACACATATACGTAGCGACCTACCGTAGATTCTATTTGCGATGCAAACAGCTCTGGCACTGTGCAGTTGCGTTGAATATCCAGATATTCTAAAATATCTCGGATGGATATCTATCCGAAATACATAGACTGTATATCCAGATATTCTAAAATATCTCGGATGGATATCTATCCGAAATACATAGACTGTATATCCAGATATTCTAAAATATCTCGGATGGATATCTATCCGAAATACATAGACTGTATATCCAGATATTCTAAAATATCTCGGATGGATATCTATCCGAAATACATAGACTGGCAACTACTGAATGTGTATATCGTTGAATGAAAACTTTTATAATATTTCGCCACAACAAAAAAAAAAGGTAAACAAAAATCAACTCTCTCGGAGTTTAATGCGCGCGATAATCCTAAACGAAACGAACGTAATTTGATGTATATAACATCAGTTGTCAGAAAGTTGTAAATTCAGGCAAATGATAAATGCGTCAATCAAAGAATTAGCTTACTACACTTTTATGCATCGCCACAGGCGGTCTTCCAATGTCAAAAGTTTGAAACTTGGCAACGAAACAACCAAATGTTGCAACACAAAATACACAGTCAATACAGACACACACATACAACAAAAACAAATTGCAAAAATTATCTTAATAATCACAAATGAAAGTCACTGCTGTTCACACACATAAATGGAAAATACGAATTGCCTGTCCGTATATGTAATGCACAAACAAGCTGCAAAATTATTTATTCAGCAAATGTGATTAAATAGCAAAGGAAATGGCTTTCAGCATTTCCAACTTGGCTTCAATTTACTGAAACACACTAAATGGTACGAGTATAGAATGAACTGGTAATTCGATTGTAACGGCGCTTTCGATTTTGAAATAGATCAATTATCATAAATTCAACACTTATGGTACGATAAAATAATGGGAATGATCTTTTACGCTAATTGTGAATACTTGAAAATTTAATGCTTTTGCTTAGTGTATTCAATTTGAGTGCTTTGGTTACGAGTGCAATTAGGAAATGTTCTCAAGAACCTTTTTTTCTATACAAGAAAAAAGAAATAGCATAAATTTAATACCCCTCTTCACAACTTCCAATCCTTTTCTCCATCCAACTGTATTCAATCAATGAAAAAGCAATGAAAAGAAAATAACAATGCATTAGAGATCCAAGGCATTTATCTGAGTTTTTAGAAAATTACATTTTTCCAAATATCGATATGCACTCTAACGAAATTATGTTTTTTTCTTTCTCTTTCTGTTTTCGTTGCTTTTCTTACATTCATATTAGGTACATCCATGTGGGCGATACCGTCACAATACGGTGGTTTTCATTTTGGCAAAGGAATTCAATTTGAAAAATTTACGAACAATTCACCGTTTGGATCGTCTTACGTCAGGCCTTTTGTTATTCGGTCGCAGTCCAAAGAAAGCACGTCAAATGGAGCATCAAATCCGAAATCGTCAAGTGCAAAAGCAGTATATGTGTCGTGTTGAAGGTGATTTTCCTGAGTAAGTACAAGCAATTCGTTGAAATACAAAGACATACACATGTTCGTACATTTCACACACACACACACACACACACACACACACACACACACACACACAC